TTCCCATTTAACAAAAGAAATTTGACCTTGAAGGTGAGGTCCAAGGTCAAATTCAAGGTCATCACTGGATTCATCGTTGAAAGTTACATAAGACCTGACGTTAACAATTTTATTTTTACGACCAACGCTCAGATTTTCAGGGGTTTCCATACTTTTTCCGACATTGACCTCTATTTGACCTCCAGAGGTTACTTTAACCTCATACCTAACCACGTATCCGGACGTAAAATTTCCCGCTCATTTTGATTCCGGCATCAAAAATAGGGGTTCTCATTTGAAAAAATGAGGTTGACCTTGAAATGACCTTGAAGGTAAGGTCCAAGGTCAAATTCAAGGTCATCACTGGATTCCTCGTAGAAAGTTATATAGGACCTGATCTTAAGAATTTTATTTTTATGACCAACCCTCTGAGATTTTCAGGTGTTTCCATACTTTTTCACTACCCTGTATGTTCTTTTCATGTAAGTCTTCGGTCTAGGTGAATACCTAGATATTTTATTTGATTGCTTTACTGAATAAATTTATGATTTAATCTTATAGGAGGACAGCTATCTTTTCGAAGTGTGACTGTCGTATGGATCGATTTTCTTTCATTTACTATTATTCTTCAGGAGTTAAATCAATTTTCAAGGTAAAATCGGTATGTAGTTTTGTAAGGTTTTGGTTGCCATTGTTGCTTCTAGGTGTACTGATAAAATTGCTGTATCATATGTTGCTGTCAATGTTATTTTTACAACATTTTATAGTCTTTTTAGAGAATTTTTTATTCAGTGATGTTGTTCCAATTACTCTTTAGTTCTTTATTTTCTTTGTATTCTTGATTTTTTAAAAAGATGTTTAAAACAAGTTTTCAAGCAATATAAGTTTTTGTAATATTTTCGTCTAAACCAGTCGGTTGCTGTTGTGATGGGGGACGGCAGGGAAAAAACAATTCGTTTTATTTCTTCGGCCTTCAGAGTCATCAGCGGCGCAGTCAGCCAATGATTGCAGCTATGATTTTTTTTTTTGGACGCCAGCTACCATCCTCGCGTTAGAAGGACGAGTAGCGCTGCAGGTCGGCTGGCTTTGGTAGCTAAAAGTCGGATAGCTTGCTGTCTTCCTCGCACGCTGGCCTCGCTGGCCACCTAGAGGTGTGAGAACGGGAGCGCGAAGTCCTATCTAGCGTACGGAAGAAAATGTGGACAGCGTCTAGTCGAAATATCGGGCACAGAAACTCCTTTTGGCAGCGGGTCATCGGAATGGCGGCTCAAGTTGCCTCAGCAGCGATCCGGAAATGGTAAAGAGTGGTAAAGGGCGTGGGGGGCTGTTTTCTCGAGCACACCAAATGGCGTCGAAGCGTCGACGCGCACTTAGCGGTTCCATGCGGCCCGATCGCGATAGCTACAGAGGAATGCGGAAAATTGATCGAAGTTTAATCAGAAAATACACATTTAGCGGGAATTATTATTTATTTAAATAGATTATTAGTTATAGATCGCGGAGGAGGGGAAAAAGGGGAGATAATTAATAGCGTCCGGTCGTCGCGTCCCCAACACAATTAGGCTTCCTTTTTTTTGGCGCAAGAAATCTATTCACGGCGGTCTACCCTGTCCGAATTCCCCTACGAGGCTCGCGGATGGCTAATGCGCAGATAATTTTGGTGATCGCGCGAAGGTCTGGCGGCACTGATTAATGCAGGGACAACCTCGACGAACGCGCGATGGTCTGGCGGTACTAGTCGGTAGACGGCGGTCGGTTTTGTGAACAAGCAGGAAACAACAAAAAAATGAGAAAAGAGGATACTCACTTTTGAACGCCTGCCTTTCGCTATTACTTTTTTTGGTCCGGTCTTATGTTGGTTGCTATTACTAATCAATTTGTTCAGTTTTTTTGTCCGTCACTAATAACTGCACTTGCTCTCTACGCTCTGTGTCACGGCCTCACTGCTACTGCCGTAGCGTTTCGTGGCATTGCGTTGCTTCTTCGCGATTACCTCCCCTTCAAGTCACGGATTTTTATCCTATTGGTCTCGATTGTTGCTAAGACGATTATCAGCGCCGTCTATATTACTATTCTAATCTGCGCAATTTTACTACTAATCGGGTGTTGGCGCCTAATTTCCCTATTAGTCAGTTAGATATCGCCGGTTTTACCTTATTCGTCAATCTACCCCTAACCTACACGTCATTGGTCGGTCTAGTCGCGCGCGTTGGTCAGTTTCGCGTCGTTATCCCTACCGATCGCCCCTACATGAATATCGGTATCGTATGCCTCGCTTGCACGCACGCTGTACGCTATTCCTCCGTTCGCGCCCGATGGCTCTCTTATCTCACTCGCACTTATACGCACGGTTGCCCCTGTATCGGTCTAGCTCAAGCGCGTCACAACATGGCCGCCACCCAGCTCACGCGTTAACATCGCGTCCCATTGCCGCTGTTTCTGTTGTTCCCTGGGGCACGTTGGTCAATCGTGCGTATGTGTGTGTGTTTCCGAGTCCTTCGGGTGTGCTAAATGGTCGGCCAGTGGTGTTAGTGTGTATGTGCGGTGTTCTCCTTATGCGTTAGCTAGCAGGATCAGTTGATCTCAGCAGCGACCTTTTTCGTCGTTTTGCTTCCTGGAAAAGTGTCGGTCCGGGTTGCTGTGCGTGATAGTGTGTGTCCGGGAGTGTAAGGATCATGCGCATCGATTTGGGCGGGTCCTGAGAGGAGTTTTTTTCGCGAGGTCACGGGGCTAATCATTTGCTCTTATGTGAGCTAATGGGATCAGCTGATCGAGCATCCGCGTCCTCTTGTCGGAAGAGGATTCTTCGTCAGCCCTGTAGGTCGAGCTTTTTGCGTGATGACGCATCATCACACTAAATGAATTTGAAACTTTATTTTTTGGATTCTTATGTAGAGTACTTTTCAGAAATTCTCAAGCATTTTAGTGAAAAGGAAGGCGAGAGATTCCATTAAGATTTTAAAGACGTTGAGAAGAGATATAAGAAAACATAAAAGCAAGGCTACCTGTAGAAATTTGGCAATAAAAAAAGTACGGCCTTCGTGAATGATACATTGTATATAAAATATTCTTATATCAACTTTTTCCTTAATAAATTTGTAAATCATAAAGTGTAGGTCAAATGTAGTTGTATTCAATTTACTTTATAACATATATAAATAGAATTATTTTACAATAAATATTTACGTTTTAAGTATCTTGTTTATGTACATTTCCTTTCTGAAATGATAAATGCTCATAATAATAAACAAACATCTCCTACGATTAGAACCCGTGACCGCGTTGAAGTTTTCAACGTAAATAAAGGTAATGACTTTAAATTAAATTTAAATTTAAATCTCAAGTAATAAAGTTAAACGAAGGTTAGATTTGGCGTTAGCATATCTAAATACATAGGGGTATGATAGTTGCTATTTTCTACTTGAAAGTTCAGAATGACCTTCAAATAAATTTAGAACTAAGTTAACGGAAACAAAATAACAATAGATTTGATTTCCGCTTATCAAAATGTGTACGCAAAACACTTTTTCGTTTTGTCTTACAGTAATCACAAGATTTAACGTTCAGACGATCTTGCGGATTCATCTAATAAGAAAATGTTCTTTTTAAATGTGGAGTCAAAAATTTAATTACACGTTAATTAAAAAATTGACCTTTGAATAACCTTAAATCTCACATGATGGACACAAACGGAAGTAAGATTGTAATTTTACGAAAATATCCCGTGTTTACATTGTGACGAGGATAACTGCTTTATTCGCCATTTATCCTTTAATCATTACCTCTCGATGCCTTTATTCACTACCTCTCGTACCATCTACGGACTAGACATACTTGTATGCTCGGTTCTATGTAAGATACTGATTGGCCGAGCCGGATAAGAAGAGCAGCGCGGATTCGACGGGCCATGAAAGTGAGAATGCGCGTGTGAAACGAGAAAAAGAATTAAGAATAGAGAGATAGAGTGGCTTAATGCAGAATCGAATGAGCACATATGAGAGCCGCGTTGCACCAGCACTTGTACGTTTGATTTTTGGTTTCTGCTTTTTCATGATCTGATGAATCAGCTCGTACCCGATCTACTCAGTAGCTCCATAGACACATTACTATCTATCAGCGATGCTCTATAATGCTTAACATAACAGTAGCAGCAGTGGAAATAGTAGCAGGATTGATGAAAGAAATAACGGCAACATGAGCTCTATCTTGTCTCTTTTTCTCCGCTTCAATTTGTCCGCATGTGTTACGTAAGTATCGTCAGCTTGAGTTTTCGTATCCCGACTATGTATATTACTTCCACAATCGTATAATCTCGGTATTCGCGGTCAAGTCGAATAAGATGAACTGCTACTTGGGCGTACATTCGTGCTGATCTGTGACAATTCCTGGCTCTTTAAGCACTGTTTTTTTTGACCACCGTTATTAACGCGACATTTTTGGTCCACTTTTATAACGAGTAAATAAAAGTTTGTTCTTGTTTTATTTGTAATTACCAGAATGATTATTCTTACTCTCTTACCCTTCCCTTTTTGAGGCTCGTTAAGCGCTCGGACGTTGTAATCGACGTTCAGTAAGTTATTCACAATTAGTAGCTGAAGTAGTTTATTTTCTCGTAAATAGTTTGTGATTAGAGACACAGGATGAACTTTAAATTCATAACGCGATCCTCCCTTTATAACATTAATGATATAACAATGGGGTTAGTTATTCGGTTTATTCGTTCCTATTTTGACAATACAATTTAAAAATAATATAGAAAGTTGTCTTTACTCTATTCTCTGATGATATGCTGTAATTATGCAAAATTTAAAAGAATTTGTGGCTTAGTATCACCAGACTAATTGACATAGCTAAGTATAATATCCACATACTTAATATTTTTTATATAATTAACCGTTTTCAATATTTCTTTCTATTATTAAATGTTTTTGACGTATATTTCTCGACTTCTTTATTCTTTCTTTAATGTCACGGAGAATTTTTCAAACAATTCAACTAAACTTTCTAAAAATTTAACTCACCAAAATAACCTCTTCTCCAGCTTGCTTCAGTATCAATACTGCTGATGAATGCGTAATATTCAAGAGAGATTGATCATTCACTTTCGTTATTATATCTTTGATTTGAAGCCGGCCATCTATTGCTGCTGCACCGTCAGGTATAATTTTAGTAACATATATACGAGAATCATTTGGAAGATGTGGATTGTCTATACCTCCAGCAATACTAAATCCTAAACCTGCCTTTTTTCGTTTTAGAACTACTTCAAAATTTCCATTTGATTCGTCTATTCTTTTCTATAAGAAGATAATAATATTATATTTAAATAATAAAGCAAATTCAAAAGAATTGATTATATTATGTTAAAAAACAATTTCAGTCAGATTCGATGTAACAGTCCACTTTTGAGTGTAATTATTAGATTTGAATATCGTTCAAAAAATGTATTTACTAATAACATCTCATGTATAAAGATTCTATAATGTAATAACGGTCCGGTCTGATTTGTATTTTTTTCGCTTTTTACTGTGTGATAGCAACCCGTCACAAATTCCAAAACTAAGGAAAAGCATCGTTAAAACTACGGCGTTACTTCACATGTATGCGTAAATGTGTTAGGGCAGTTCTTCGAAAATCAAGATCATATAAGGAGCATGACATCATGAGCGTGGGAAATTTATTGTTTACGATGTAAAATCAATAATTGCAAAGTTTTTTTAATCGACAAAAACATTTCTCAGTCAACTTCTATGCGCTAATCTCGAATCTCGAATTATTATAATCATTCGATATGTATTTATTAACTTAATCTAATTTGCAAGTAAATATCGCTAGTAATTTTATAATAAACAAAAATGATGTGAATTTGAATAAACAACAGCAATCCTAGCACTTTAAGAAAGAGAAGCAAGAATTTGAAACTTTGACAACTAATTTTTAACAGTTATCAATAAATAAAAAATTTATAATATATTTAAACATTTAAAATTATGTTGCGAGATAGCGAATCAACTGTACATACATGTAAAATTACTGAGAACGATTGTTACCCGTTCGTTGATTTTATAATGGCACAAAGAATAATTTGCAAAGTCTATTTACTTAATATTCAAAGACTCATTGTTAAACTGGTGACTTTTATTTTAAATAATGTTCCGCGTATCACAAGTGATTGTTTATGTAAAAATTTCCTATAATTTTATTGTAAATTTTGTGCTATTCACTTATCTAACTTTAATTGTTTATAACTATAAGAGGTGATTTTTCCTTCAGAAAAGATTTATACTAAAAAATTCGTCACCTTCGACTTAATTTTTTAAATCGCCAACTTTTACTTTCGCGTACGTTATTTCGCGACAAAACTTGTTTAAAATTAGTAAGAATATAAAAAAGAGCGTTGTAGGGGCTACCTAGCGTAAAAAAGAGCCTCTTTCGCTAGTATAAATTCATTTATCACTGTGGTAAGAGGGGACTTCAAATCCTACCTTGCTTAACAGCGCCAGCACTGTTTGGAATAAAGACTCAGCATTCACTTGAGATCTGATTTTCATTACTCAATGTTTAGCATGGCTATTTTCCGTTCCTATATGATAGTCTAAGAGCTCATTTCATAAGATTCTCTCTCTTATGAGAAAAAAGTAGCCTTAGACAATCTCCTCTTTCGACAATAATAATTTCACCTAGAAATTCAACCAAGTACTTGTTGTGGTGCTGTCGGACCTTTTCACGACAAATGCAACAGTATTTAGCCACATTTTAAATGGCCCGTTGAAGTAACGAACTGCGTGGATGATTACTATGTATGTTCGCTGTTCGATGATTGACTCAATAGCGATTTTTAAAATATAACAATGATTGCTATCTTGGTCATATCAAGCTTCTAATATTACGCGTAAACTTCTTGCTTGCTCTCGGAAACTCGATTTGCAAATATATCTTACAAGTAGAGTCCGAACTTTATTATAACGTAGCATAAGACTAAACGTTACAATAAACATAAGATATGACTGCTTGAACTTATATCAAATTTGTTTGTGGAGTTCAGTGCGAAACGTCAAATTGAGTAGACGTGTCTTACTGCCTCTGTAAACAAGGTAAATTAAGGCAAATTCAGACTCCATATCGCGTTCCAACTGCTGACGCTTGTTATGTGTATCGGTGTCCATGGCTATCTATCTCTTTAGCTGTAATTGCAGTTTGACAGCTGTGCAGATCAATTATCATGACTTCTTTAAGTTCGATTCCCTGACGTGCTTTTGTAAATTAGTTGCTTAGACAAATATGTGACAAAACGTTCTTTCTATATTAAATGTTTAATTGATTAATGAAAATAATTGTAATAGATAAGCGCGTTATCGTCGTACTTTTGCTAGCAATTCTTTATGAAGGGAATAAGAGAGACACTTTCGCTCTTAGCAATCGAAGAGAAAAGGGAGGAGAAGGTCCACAAATAATTACACAGACCGTTTGTCAAATGCAAAATCTTATTTTCAATCATGAACAAACAACGAGCGAACAAACTCAATAGAAACCTCTTACTTCTAAGAAAGAGCAAAAGCGAATGCGTATGAATACAATAATCATAACCAGAATAAATTTAGGTGAACTGCCCGGCGGGTGAACGCCTTGGCAGCCGACTACTCGTTGCCTGCACATAACCTATCGAGCTGCTGCTCGGAACACAAAAAAATCTCAGGTAGCCGGCGAGTGAACGCCTGGCTATTGAGTATAACCGCAGTTAAATCTAACGCGATCGAAAATATGCCATGACAAGAAAAACTAGAGAGAGAGAGAGAGAGAGAGAAAACGAAAATCTGATCTGGTCTTCTTTCCGGCTGGTTGGCGTGGTGTAGTAGGCGGCCGAGCGAAACTACGTTTAATGGCACTTCTTCGATCAGCAGGCGTCCAAATCACCTCTCCTCAATGTACCTCTCAACAAAGGGCAGCATCCCTTGTATCGCGCGGGCAGCTAGGCAAAGACTCACATCGTGTGCGATCACTATCCTTATTGGCCTCTTTCTCTGTAGGGCTGCACTCGCTGTTTCCTTCCTCTCACAGATCGAGTTCGACTTCAATGTCGACCGGCTCGCAGTCACTCATTTTCTCTCAACAATCTACTGAGACGCTCTTATAAAGGCGGATGAGCAGGAAGTGAACAACTAATTGCCTTCATCTTCACTTAATCCACAATTTTTAGGCGGTATAGCGGCATGCGACGCAACATTTATCGGTCTTACGACGCACGCCTGTCTAGACTTGCATAGTGCGTGCACTCTTTCAGTCGCTCACTCTCTTCCATTCTTTTTTGTTTTCACTACTAGGGAGTCCTTTGAGTCTCTTCGACTACTCTTCTGCAATCATCGACGTTGAAACAGAAGGCCAAGTGTAAGGCGCATTTCTAATATACGCCCAACGCTGGTAACTGTGCCTTGCCGAGAAGAAAAGGAGAAAGAGAGAGAGGTAGATGAAGAGCAAGCATACTGCTTTCTCCGTTACATAATTAAAATAAAATTAATCTATATATAAATCAATTACTTTATTAATTAATTATACTGATAACAAATAATTAGAGTTAGATAGAATACTAGAATCTCTAGGATTAAAATGATCGTGAAGCATAGATATAGTGGCGTGTATAAGTTTCTGGCCAAAAAGAAATTATTTAAAATTTCAAGTTTTGCAGCTCCGTCTAAAATGGTCGTACAAGAAAACGCGTAAAGTCATTTTCAAGAGTAAAGCAATACCCTTCATATCCCGCCGGTATTTTTTTACTAAATTAAAAATTGTGTTTATTAAGTTAATAAAACAAAGTACTTTTTAAAAATTTTTCTTTTTACATTAAATCGGTTATAACTTTTGAACAAGATAGTAGATTTAAAAAATCGAAAGTGTAAAAGTTATATAATTTTGTTATCTTTAAGATGAACGAAACAAGATCCATTTTCATTGAGCCGATAAAAAGTTACAACGTTTTTTGTAAAACAATTCCTTTTTTTCATATTTGATTATCTCGAAAACTATGTACTGTAAAAAGAAACTCTAAAGAATGAAAAAGGTTGTTTTGTAATATAAAACAATTATTCACTATCAAAATTGTATTTTGTAAAAAAAAAATTTTCCGTTTTTTCACCGTGGATTAAATATGACAGTAACCAGTGAGCAGCAACAGTCTTCTGATTATATTCTAAGTCAAATTGCATTAAGAAAAAGAAAGTTACTTAAGTAATTGAAAGTGATAGGTGACAACTCACGTGAGGCGAGTTTGTCCCGTACGAAGGCCTTTTTAACGCCTTCTTAGACTCGGGCGGCAGTCAAGCTTTCGGGCACCCCGGCCCGTTCGCGCGTCAATAATGAAATCCCTATTAATTATAATTCGACACTCGATATCGTTTTTGTAAAATAAATAATTGAACGTTTATAACGTTCTTCGCTTATTTATTTAAAGGAAAAATGTAATAGCGATTTTCTTTAATATAGTAGGGAAGCATATGGATACACTTATAGGCGTTTATAATTATAATATTTATTCTAGTCTCTTTCACAACATAAATAAGTTAAGCAGAATAGAGAGATATATATATATATATAAATTCTCAGACGCGTAATTTTCGCCTCGCGACGTCTATTATTTTTTGGTTACATAAAAAGTATTACTCACTTTGTATTAACATTGTAAATATAAATTGGTCCAAAATATTATTCGCTTCGTGATGTGGTCAATCACTTTTTCTTTGAATCTGATCAGATCAACTGGTCCAATATATTTTTTTATACAATACTTTAGCAACACTCAAGAAAATGATAATTCCTATGATTTTCGTTGTCCAATATATTCTTTATCCAATAGTGTAGCAACACGCAAGAAAATGATAATTCCTATGATTTTCGTTTACACAAAATTATTAAAACAATTGTACTCGACACTTCTAATACTTAATCGCAACTCAAACAATTATATTCTCAAACTCTTATTACGGATTTAACTTCAGTAGGAAAATATGCGGGCTTCTTAGTCGAGCGCTCACTCCTAACTGACTAATCTCCCTGTCTAGGATCGTTGTTTTCGCCGGTTCATTATATATATTTTCCTCGTATTCCGTCTCTTTCTCGCACATACACTTTAGACGTTTACGCTTCTCGTATCGGCTCGTCTTACCTAGCTAAGCACGCTGACCAAAGCATGCTGTCGCAGCATGCTGCCTCAGCGTGAATCAGCCTCTGCCGCACATTCCTACCGAGTCGCGCACACGAGTACTGCTAGCTATACTATGTCCGAACGGAAATCTCGGGTCCGAAA